GTAGCGCGCTACTTTTTTTGACAAATAGCTATAGCGGTAGCGCGCTACTTTTAAAAATAGCGTTTAACAACTCTGATAACGTTATTTAAATCTAGTTAAAATAAAAGACTGGCTATATTTTTTAATATATATCTCTTTAAATGTACTACCTTTACGCCTGAGTTCTGAAAAAATGGTATGCATGCCAGATCCATTATTTATCCGTCCCAAGTTATCAGTTTAAATAAATGTTTAATTAAAAACTTTATTTCAACATCAAAAATGAACACTTCAGGATTGAATCAGGATCTGATATAGGGTACAAGTCTGATGTCATAGATAAACTGAACTAATGGCCATTTATAAAAAAAATACGATTTAATATATTATACATTAAAAAATTCCTGACCTTATAATTATATTTAGCACAAGATAAAATGGCCATTGCCACTGCAAATAATTAGAAAGCAGGTATACAATAAAATCCAAATTGACTTTATTCATTATTGCTTATAATAAAAGAGGATAGCATTCATGGAAGTATTTCTGGCTCTTCTAACTCGGCATTATCTTGAATTATTTATTAAACTAGCACACCAATATTTTAAATCACCTTCACGAGCGCGAAAATGTTGAAGGGTAACATGCCTATATTTAAGTATGCCCCCCAAATTATTTTTTACACCCTAATCCTTACCTTTAGATACATATATGCATATTACAAATACTTTTGCTCTCTACAATCCTACTCATTGGCGATTTAAACGTGGTAAATTCAAACAATTAATTTCAACCTGGTCTGCGAGCTATTATACCCATTTAATCCCCCAACTATAAAGGAAATAAGTTATCTATAAATTGAAAGTTAGGAGCCTGTATCACGGATGAATCCAAAGCCGAGAGATAATATGATTAATGTAACAAAATCCATTTTTTTCAATCTATCAAGAATTTTTATTAATAATCTGACAGTTTATAAGAAAATACCACTCCTTCAGATAAAATTAAAAAGCATTAACATCTTAAACATTTTATTTTATATATGCATTAATGTTATATAATATAATTTTCATATTAAAAAAGTATAATAATTGACAAAAAATATTTTGGCATTACTCATATAAATTTCCTGAAATTTGAAGCAATTTTAATCAATTGGTTAAATAACACGTTATTAATAAAAACTCTTATTACACCATCGATTTTATTATGGAAATTGACAAAATTGAGTGGAATATTAATTTTAAAAAAAATTATGTGAAAAATATGTTAATAAAATATAATAAAAGTAAAAATAATTTATATAAATAAATTAGCATTTTTGAATTACTAGATTTTTAAAGATAATAATAAAAGGGGTATTTATTTTATATATTATACTAAGCAAAAATAAAAAAATTCTCAACTAAAATAATATATATTTAACAAAAATGTTTATAAATTTTTTTGTTTTTAAATGATGCACAAGGATAGGATCCGCAAGTTCGTTATGTGCATGAATATGGGCCAAGGCTGGGCCATTTAGCCAGCTGGGGAACTAAATCACGTGATGGATTATTTAACATACGGTGTTTTCATTTATATCAGTACAAGACACGTCCGAAATTATTTATAATAAACCAATTTTAAAAAGGGGACCAATATGTTAATAATTTAGCAAAAAATTATCAACTTTTAGAAACTTGGGTCAAACCGAAAATTAAAAATATTTTTATTCCTCTACTTCCCTCTCTTCGTTTATTCCCTTTTCCCCCTACTATTAGGATCCATCTGAGCACTCGTATTTCGGTATAGCCAGTAATTTATCCTCGCTTTCCAGTACCCTCCATACAACAATGCCGGTCCAACCACCATCATATATAACATGGATTCACTTGCAAAGATAATAGCTTATCCAGCTATACCCCGCTCGCTTCCCTCTATTTAAATCTAAGCAACTTTCATTCAGGCCCATATTGGCTATTACAAAGCAACATGGAACGAAATTTGTATATCTACACCGCCTCCAATTTAAAAACTATACTTGTTAATTCTCGTTTCAGATACATGTAAATTGTCCATATTTTCCACGCCTCTTATAAATGATGCTAAAAGCTAATATCCGACTTTGCCCCATCTGCAATAATCATATATCAAGACGACTCCAACAATGTCTTGGTTATATCCAGAAATACCTAAATAAAGAGTAACTATTCTTCGCTGACTCCTGGTATACTAGTTTTGCATTAAAATTGTTAATATTCCTTATTCGTTCTTATAATTATTGTCATATTAATTATAACTTTCATCATCTTTGGAAACTCTTCCTACTTCAATTTTTTCTGTTACAAATCTTTTTCTAAATTAACTAGCACCAAGTAAAGACTTTTTGCTTCTTCAATAGTTTTACCCGTGAATACTTCTTCCGTTATTATTTTCCCAACCTAAATCCGTATTGGTTATAGCATTGGAATTTTGGGAATAACCAAGAATTCATGGGAATTACCAGGCATATAAATTTATCTAAATGTATTCTACATTAAATATGTTGAATGTTAGATTAGCATTTAAAATGGCAAAAAACAAATTCGAAGTTCCCCAATGTAAATATGATTTAAGTTTTAATTATACTTAGGGTTTAATAACTATTTAAAATCCAGAAAACATCTATCAGCTATTGAGGTTCTTAATAATTTCGTCCATATTATAATTAATAAAAAAATTATATCAAAGAATTAACACTCAAAAATGACGAATTACTAAAAAAACAGGATTCTAGTGTAATTAACTTATACCTAGGTCTAAATAATTTACCTTGGAGATGCACAATCAAATAAAATATATTTATTATTAGACCTAGGGAAAAAAAACGGAATGTAAGCTACAAGAATTGTATCCAAGAGATTCATGAATATTTATAAGGAAATTAGGATTTAATTTTTTAATAATTATTTAAAAATTGGAAATTTTGGGAATATTTCTTTTAAATAAATTCCCAGGATATATTCCTGGGAGCTTAACATCCCTAGTTATAGCTGCTAGACAGCCCTGTATACAAACATTCGCACACCTTCATTGGATTAAACGTGCCATAATAACTTTACTCTCATATGTTAGTTATCTCTATCGTCCTCACTTTGATAATTAGGATTAGAAAACTTCCCTAAGCATCCATATTCCTTACTTTGAAAACCATTTAATAAGGGATCTAATTTCTTGATTCCTGTACGTATCCAGATTTCATATCGGATCAATATACAAAAAGGCAGGAGACTTCACTCACAGACACCATAGTGATGGCTGGCACCACCTCGTGCATAATAGTTATTATATGGATTCATATAACGCTTAGACTAAAAATTAAGTCTTTTTTTCTAATTGACTAGACTTAAATAAAATATTTCCTATGTTTAAATTCGCGAGAAGCCTTGAATCAAAATGTAATGGGTAAGCTTTTATATACCAAAGAAAATATTTTATGAGTTTGTTCTAAAGTTGAGTAGTAGCTAAAAATCAGCTAATTTGGCTCAATCTTCAGAGGCTTGCCAAAAATCCAGTTAAAATTAAGGTGTTTTAATTTATATTAGTTTCTTCCAAATTTGAGCTGCTATCTTTTTAAGAAAAACCTCGAGGCCAAAGTGATTGTTTTCGGTTAATTTGGTTTGGCTGATAGCCAGGTAAAAATATAAACACCTAAAAATATTGGAGGTGAACTTTATGTATAGAAAGAACTTATAAATTAAATGACTGCGAAAGAATTTTGCTGAACATTAAAAATGAAAATCGCCACATTTGTAATTTTTTTTAACTTATGAACCAGTTTTCCCCGTTTCATCCCCAAGTTCATTTCACGCCACTGTTTCTAAAGCTTTCAAATTTCACTCCCTAGTGCTTTACGTTTAGGAGTTGTGCGTGATAGTTATCCGACTTCTTAGTTCGTTTCCTACCAAACTATTTTCTATTATCATTTCGAAGTGCTTGAGAGTAAGACGGTAATTTTTCAGCAAACATATCCTCTCCACCAACATTCTTTTTCATTTTCTTCCCTAAATCCTTATTGGTTTATTCTCTGAGCTTTTCAAAATTTTCTAAAATACGAATTTTGACTTCAGAACAATTTCGATTTTCATATAGACGATTACAAGCAACTGTCTGTAAAATGTTTTTAATTATAAGTTATATAATAAATTGTGTAAATTATAAATTAAGGCCGCCAAAACTTGAAGTAGAAAAAAAATTCAAACATTTCAAGAATATAATTTTTGAAAATTTCTAAAATTTTTTTAAAAATGTTTTGGACACGTTTTTTTTTACTTATTTCTTTTTTTTTACGAATTTTATTTGTTATTTTGCTACTTCAAGTTTTGGGAAGTAATAACTTAAAATAAAACGATTCATAATGACTTAATTTTGCTTTAGATGGCAATATTTATTTTAAAAATTAAAAATAGTTTACTTTTTTTAAGAATTGGCATACTCATAGAACATTAAGAATTGTTATTTATTTTCATAGCACTAAAAAAAAAATTAAAAAAATATTAAAAGGTTGATGACAAGAATGAATTTTATTTGACACTTTACTTCAAAATGAATTGTCATAATTTGTATTCGTATAAAATTTATATAAATTATATATACATATATCAGATAAGAAAATTGATAAATCAATACTTTCCTTATGTTTGTTTATTTTTGTGTGGATTGTTTTAATAATATAATTTTATTTATTATTTTTTTTATATTAACTCTTAAAATTATACTACTAAAATAACAATCTATACAAATTCTATTGAACTTGGTTTTAAAACTTTAAATTTAATTACATGATAAAAATAAACTTATCTTAAATCACATTTTTAATTTTTTTTAAAATATTGTCAAAATACGATTCTTTATGTACAATCTCAAAATTGATTTGGCAAATATCAGCTGATGAAATAGGATAAATAAAATATTTGCATACCATATATAATTTTTTTTTTTAAATATTGGATTGGTATTATCATTTGTTACATTTTTTTTATATATATTCAACTTAAATAAAATAAATTTTCGAAAGCATTAGGGGAAAACAAAATTAGCATAAAAGTGATGAATATTAGATAGGAGCGAAAATGACCGATGATTCTCATGGATAGACATCCTTAAATTCGAAAAATGGCTGGAAATATTTAAATAATAATGTTAACATAATTCACCCCCAAAAAAGTATAACAACAAAGCAATTTTTTTAAATCATATTTTATTATTATTATTATTTAAAATGCTAATTGGTATATTAATTGTATGAATTCTCAAAATTTACAGATGGTTATTATTCCTCTGACGTAAGGATAAATGAAATTAATATCTCACTTCAATTAAAAAAAATTTTTTTTTTTATTGGATGGCACAATAAAAACTAAAGGATGTTCTTTTAAAAAAAAAGTATTCCAATAAAAAAAATTTTTTTTTTAAATAATCCTTATCTACCGAAATTTGATTCTATGTGATTACTGTTATGTATATTGTATAATCTAATCTACATCTATGATGTGATGTATATAATATAATGTATAACTGCTAATTAAATATATAACAAAAAATATCGAATAATATTTTTCATCATCATAATATTCCTTTTTTCGGATATATATAATTATTCTCGAGGGAGTTCAGAAAAAGAAGAGAGGATATATATATGGTTCATTTTTTTTTTACAAAGTAGGAATAATCTAAAAATTATTAATACATTTTAAAATTCGTAAGATTAAATTATTTATATTCATATCGCAAATTTTTGGATTATAAGAATTCTATTTGTCCGTTTAACATTATTTCATAGCCTATAGTCAGATGCTCTTGTCACAACCTCGGCTCAATGTCTATTATTACCATTACTATGTGTAGTTAATGCGCTCACTTCAAACTGATTTCCATAGAGTCTACCCCTATTAATATTTACATTTCGTGTCGTTATATTCTGACTTCATTCAAAGACAATGTGTTTCCTCAATTTAGTGTTCTTAAATTCGATTTCGGGGAAATAAAAATCTTTTATCGCGATAAATAAGCAGCTTCCCATCTATTTTATGGCCTAGGAATAATTTGTCATCTTTATAAATACCGGTAGTGTCCAATTAAAATTGAAAATAAATTCGGGCATTTACGGTTCGGGTAAAATTTATGAAAAAGCAAAATATTCGCACGCTCTCCCTCATAGTGTGTTCCTTCACTTACTTGTTGATAGGAGCTGCCGTGTTTGATGCCTTGGAATCTAAATACGAGATTAAGCAAAAGCGAATGATGATGGAGATCGAGGAGCACCTGATCCGGAAATACAATATATCCGATTCCGATTACCAACTGCTGGAGGCCATAATTATCAAGTTAGTGCCTCACAAATCGGGTATTCAATGGAAATTCACGGGGGCCTTTTACTTCGCCGTTACTGTCATAACTACCATAGGTAAATTATACATATTGTTTTATTTTCTTGATCCAACCCGACCCTAAAATCCAAATATATTTATGAAAAAAAAATTTACTTTAAGGATTTTTGTAAATTATTTAGTATGTTTTACTGAAATAATCCAGAAAAAAAATGAACAAAATTCTAAAATAATAAACAATCAAACTATGATTTATTCATGTCACTGAATAAATCCAAAATTATAACAAAAACAAATTCCAAACACCCGACAGACTTGAAAAAATTTTGCAACTGGGACCCATCCCGATCCGAAATAAAAATGAATTACAATAACCCGACCCTCGGATCGGTAGTTGAGTTATATCGGGTTTTACAGACTTATAATCTGATTTTTTTCTTTTTATTTTAAGTTTGAGGATTTTATTTGACAAATAATTAAAAATTCATTAAATTTTAAATTTTATCAGTATAAAATGAATATTTAATCAATACAAAATTATAGAATATCAGAGTAAAATACACTATTAGTCAGTGTTTTTGACCTGTTAAAAAATAATAAGATCAGTAAAAAAAAATTAGTTGCTCCAAAATTGAAATTTGTCCAGTAAAAAAAATCTTTGTAACTAACAATGAAATGGCTAGTAATCGAGGTCACAAGAACAATGCATTTTTGCAAATTTTTCATAGCGATTGATGCTTAGAGAATTAGAATTCTATCCCCGTCATGTGGCATAAAAATTTCTGAAATCAACCTCCTTAGACGAGGTTAGGGCAGGTAAGGTTAAAAGGTTGGAGGTATATTTGACTAAACTGTAAATCCCTAGGTAAACTGTATATTATTCAGGTAAAATTATTTATATTATACTCTATTGATTAAGTTTTGATTTCTTTTCATATACTTATAAATAAGTCATAGAAATTAAATTACTGAATCATTTATTAATCTATTTATAGATGGTTTAAATCTTTTAATTTGCAATTATATTAAAAATTAGAATAGGATAATATATAATTTTATAATATTAAACACCCTTTTATAAACTAACTAACTTTTAATCAAATTCTCTAATAAATTTTGGGTACTGGTCCTCTAGTTTTGTTAAATGGCTAACCCAATATTTTAGCCAAAAATTATTAAGCCTCGAAGTTTTACTTATAGATGAAAGTTTGGATATCTATTAACAAATAACGAGGTTTGTGAAATGTTATTTTGGACAACATTTTAATTTAAAATGGCTAATTCGTGCCGTTTGACAACATCTTGACCCTCTATTTTCAACCTTTAGAATCCAGTAGATGGCCTTGCTTTGTTGAACTCGCAACACATAGAGCATAGCGAAGCGCTTTAAAATAATCCCTCCATCCCCTGTTTGCGTTATCCGCATTCCACATGGTCAGCTCTGAATCGAAATAACTGAATTATTGTCTCTTCTAGTTCTTACATTTTTTAATATTTTTGTTATCTCTTCTTGTTTTTTTTTGTTGGATAAGATAATTTTAATGAGATTTTTTTAAAAAATAAACAAATACGTCAAAATTCCATCTCACATGTCACATGTAATTGTTTGAGTTTGAGTAGCAATACTATATTTATATTTTTTTGATAATAAACTTTTAATATAAATTTTTAAGTCATCTAAATTTAATATTATAAAAAAAATAGATAATTAAATGGCTATCTTTTTCTATTAACTTTTTATAGTAAAATTAATTATTTTTTTTTATATCTATTACTTATTTATAACTTACTATAAATTTTTAGGAAATAATAACTATATTATAAATATAACAAGATGTATTACAATTACAGTGCGAAGAAAGGATTATCTTTTAACAATAAAAAAAAAATTTATTCTTACAGAATTTTTCATTTTTTTATGTATATGTATTAATAATATATCCTCTATCTTATTTAAAATAAGCGATGGGGGTGTTGTTAAAATATAAAATGTAAAAATAAAATAATCAATATTATATAATAAATAATATCACTATTTATTTAAATTATGTTATATTAGTCCGGACAATTTAATATTATTTAATTATATTATATTATATTATATTTAGTCGGATAATATTATGTATCCATAAGAGATAGGCTAAAATATATAATAATCAAAAGGACGATTACCTTAAATAAAAATTGTAATATCTTACCAATTTAATGGAAATTTTTTTTATATCTGGATATGAATTTTTTTGTACAATTAATCAATTAATTAAATATTAAGATATAAAAATTTAATAGAATTAATAAAGAAAAATAAATTAATTTACTATATATAATACAGGTTTATTTTTCATAAAAAAAATAAATATAATTTTCTAAATAGTTTTAATTTGTGAAGATTTCGATTGGTGATAATAATAAGTCACAGGCAAAAAAGATTACATCCACTCACTACCTATTTGAGGCCCATCACACTCTTATTCAAATCACGACACTAGAACTTTAAAATACATTGTGAGAAAGGGTAGGCAAATTTTTCGGCTTTAAATGATTTTTACTTAACATTCTAAAACCGATGAATCTACCATCATAGGTCGGATTGACTACAGATCAGACATGAAACTTCATTTGTGTCTCCTCATCCCATCTGAACCAAATTGCTAATCCATTATTATTACCCGAATCAAAAAAGTTCTTAGACATATTATCTAGCTATAAAAAAATGCCTTCCATCATTGAATGATGAAGAATGAGCTAGTTTTAATTGCCCAGTAATTTAACATTCACAATTATTCTTTACTGAAAAAACATTGTTTTAAATTATATTATTATTTTATAAATTTAGAATGATTAAAAATATTTTGTAATGTGTATCATTTTTATATAAAAATTATTTGTATAAATTAAATTAACAAATTTCAGTTTGTAATAAGATCGAAAGATATGCCATAAATCTTTTAAACTGAGTAGTATGTATATCATTATCAAATCTTTTAAGACTAGTTTAAAGTTGTAATAATTTTCTTTACAACACGAATGTAAAATTTTCAGTTCGCCACTGGTTGACAAGTTTGAGTAATAGATGTCTGTTATCCTTTTGGAGGTAGTTTATAATGAATCGGGCCAAATATTTATTGATCTACCAAGGAAAATATTTAAAATTTTATATAAACTAGATTTTTTTTACCCTCATATGGAGTAAAGAATTCTGACATCACTTTTATAAACTATTCCCAAAAGGTTTATACTGCCCATAGATTTCTTTTTATCTGGTTAAAAACTAATTTTTTTAATCATCATTTTTTCTTCTCTTTACAAACTAAAATATGTTAATTTATTCAATCGATAATATTGCCTCAAAAAAATTTTTTTTTAAGGTTGAGCCACCTGAGATTGTAAAGGCTATTGACGCCACTGAATAAAGTTACAAGAATTTTCAAGGTTAAATTTAGTCAATTAATAAAACAAGCTTATTCTTGATCATTCTAAGAATGGAAGACTCTAGGTGTTTAACGACAAAGATATATATTTAACTTATAACTATAAATTTGCTCGGATTGTTCTATCTTACAAACGGACACTTTCCCCTTCAAACCTATAAATTTTAAACTATTTAAGCAAAAAAATCGAAGACGAATCGAGATAATTTCTCTTTCTTCTTTCAAAAAATGACACTTTTAAATATAATTATGGCCATTCTTGGGAACCCAGCCTAAAAAACAGTTTGACTATTTTTTCAACATTATAATAAGTAATTTGATGGAAAGGAAACTTTCCGGGTTTGATTATTAATAATTTCTCAAGTTGAGCGCTACACATAGAAATGTCCAAACCAAGTCAGTCAACAAATCCATGTTTTAAAAAACAGGTATGGCTGGAAAATATATTTTTTGAGTTGCTGTATTAATACACATGATATTAAACATTGATAGACATTTTTGTTTTTATTAATTATAAAATCTCGATAAAAATTCAAATCGAATTTTTCCTACGTACATAGCATGATTTTCTGAAATGAAAACCAAAAATTTAACCACATTATAACAATAATATCAATTATCTAAATAAGGGGTTGTAGTGCCAAGTTCAATCTTTCTAAAAAAAATAGGGAAATTAAATTAGTTCTTTTTCTTGTTGTTATTTTTGTAAGAAATGGGAATAAATTTAATTAAAGAAGAATTCGAAAATAAAGAACAATTAAATTCATCATATATATATTTTTTCCTTTCTTTGTTTAAAAATATAGACATTTTTTGGAAGCTTTTTTATTCAATCTTTAATTATAATTTCCTCTTTAAAACTTGAATCAGATCCAGTTAATTCATCATAAAAAATAATTTCTTTTAAAACAATGTCCTTAAATTAATATACAGGAGTAATTTTTAAGGATCACTATATTATTATCATGGATGAACAATGATACATGTCATGATCAGGGTTGCCGGGTCAAAATTTTCAAATTACGGGAGAAATTTGGTCAAAATTTTTGATATAAATTTAAAAATTGAGAAGAAAAAAATTTCCGCCTTTTCCAGTATCGTTTTAATAACATTTTTCCAATTATAAATGATATTTTATTTTTTTTTTAAAGTTTTAATTTCTACTTCTTTACTAGTGGAGTTATTTTATTTATTATGCGTGGTAATATAAATGCTAAATACTTTGATCTGATAAAAGAGATCAAAATTTTATAAAATAACATCTTTATTTGTAAAAAAAAAATGTATTAATTTTATACAAAAACTAACGATCTTTATTTTCTATAAATTGTTTCTCAAAATTATTATTTATAAATCAAAGACATAAAAATGCTGAAAATTATAATGCGGGAGGGAGATTTTTAAGGCGGGACTTTTGAGGGAAGGGATCTTTGCGAGTTGACAAAAAAACTGCCGGAGTTTCCCGTTGATGTGGGAGGGAGAGACCTGTGAACCCTTGTCATGAAATGCCACAATACTTTGATTAATAGTTAATTAAAATTACCTTAATTATATTACAATTAAGAGTCACATTTTATTTATAGGGGAATTGTTTTTATTGATTAATATATTAACAAATTTTTTCAATTTTATTGATATAGAAGAAT